TTTTTTTTTTAAATCGTTTTAAGGGAAAGTAGCTGAAAGAATCAAAATGAAAGTACTTTACTAAAAACATAATTTTGTAACTACACTCTTCATTTAAGCACGTAAAATAAACTTTCGCGACAGATTTGTTCCATGTGCATGTCTTGACTACCTGATGCACAAGCAATACCGGCGATGGCACTTCCATCATATAATACTTGTTACAAACCTACAATAGCTACAAAAAGTTCCACCGCGAATTTTTATTCCAAAAATGTACAAAATTTCGATTGTCTTAAAAACATAAGGACCTAGAGACAATCAGAAACAAAAAGCTTTCCCGAAAATTAACAGTGTAATCAACCCATCCTGCTACCGAGTCTTCTTGTTGAAAGAAAAGATTATAAACACGTTATGAACCGATACTCATCCCAGCGTTTATAGCGAGTGAGTTCAGTTCTTGGTTTAAACCATTAAAATGTTGTTCGACCTAGTCAAACAATGCAATTGAACATCTACACTAGCTTTAGTTTCTGAATGTATTATAGATGAAACTTTAACGATTCACAACCATAAATTTTTGTCATTCCCTTTTACAATTATTAAGCCTCTGTAAAGTGGTAGTAGAACCTATAAATTTACACGAGAAATGTTTAAATAAATTTAATTAAGGAAAAAAAAACACTTTGAGAGGACAGAACTGGAGTCCAGGAAGATTAAACTCGAGCACACCACCGAGTCACCAACCTGCCTTGCAACCTCGAGTTCTGTATAATTGTTTGCGCCCTTCAATATTGTCCCCATGTACAAATTTTGAGACACCAAGAAGAAAGTAATCTCCTATTCACAGGCACAACAACTCAAACAAACCCTTTTCATTATAATTGCACAGCTTCACTTTACAATCAGGCTCTCTTGAAAGAAAACGAGCGAAAGAGCAAGCAAGCAGCAAAGGGCTGTTTTTTTTTTGTGCCAGGAAAACGACTGCGAAACGAGAGCCTCTCTTTCAAACTTTCCCCCGTCCTTTTTTTTCCCGTTTCCAGAAAGTAAAGGCCTAGCACGAGCTCCTTCACGTTTTACTTCAAAACGATTAAAATGAAAACAGGATTTAAACATTCAAATCACGGTAGGCATG